TGAAGACTGCGCTCATACAATATTTGCGTCACAACTGCTGCATGCTCGGGTCGAAGTATTGTTTGCAATCCACATTTTATTGCAACGAAATTATTTTCTTCTTCTCTTTCGTCATCGTATACCGGCGAATCGTTGTTGTCTCTTTTTCTTTTCATTCTCGAAGAACTGATACAAATAAACGAAAATAAAAAAATACACACAAATTTAGAAAAAAATGCACCAAATATAGCATAGATCACAAACACAATAAGATAAAAATACTTCTCTCACAAATCAAATGAAACAGTAATGAAGAACGCATCATAAATGTCACGTCTTACCTCAACAAAGTGACTCTGTATTCTAAATCGAATGATGAAATTTATTTCCAATGTGACATCAAATATTTTCCCGATCGAATTTTTGTTGGAATATTCACAGTAAATTTTATCAAAACACTCTGTTATTTCGAAATTAAAACAAAAATGAACACAAAACCAACTGTGAATATTTCCATTCTTCAGTGAACAGCGTTCCGAACACACAAAATCGTTGAAATTGAAATGACAATAAAATCAATTGGTCGCCCAAACCACGCTACAAACACTCACATCTAATTCTCAAGAAATCCTCTTAAAAACAAAACAAAGTTTTATTGTAAACAAAATCGGTTCGTGCGATTGTAGTTTCAAAGTGATGGAAGTTGTTTATACTAACAATACTGAAACATACCATTTTTTTTAATTATAGATATGGGAAACACTCTATTATACACATATGAGTTCGGAGACACTTATATGCAATCCGCGTCTTTATTTTTTTTCATCAATTCATTCCTTTCGAAATCAGGGACATTTTCTGCTTTCCTCATTAAACCTGTATGCTGATTGGAATTATAACGAATAAAAAATTTGAAAATCTTTTATTCAAATACAACATCTCCAAATAAGTTCAAGAAATACAATGTTTTGAAGCTCCACAATTTAATGTTGTCACTCTTCATAAAAATTTAGATTCTGGAAAAATAATCAAACTGGAATAAAATACAGGCACATCTTTAGTTTAGGGACACATTGGATTATTGGATTATTGGATTAAAACGGGGAGTGTCCTATTTAAACAGTAAATTTTAATATAGTTACTCGTTGCTCAAGTTTCATAACTTATTGCAAGACGCCCGTGTGTGTATTGAATACACGAGAATAGTCTTTTATCCAAAAATGTTTCTAAGGCATGGATTGTCATCGCATGCCCGTTTGAAAAACGTTACCAATTTGAATACACTCGGTGCATGAATCAAAGGGTAGGATCTCCAGCCCGTGAAGTCAGCCCGTATGGTATCCAACATTGGACATCTATCTATGAGGTGGGCAGTGGTTTCCCCTTCTCCACCACACAGTCTACAGTCCGGGTCGTCTCTGAGATTTAGATTTCTCATATGAGAATTGACCCTGGCGTGCCCGGTAAGTAAACCAATTACCATCCGGAGTTCTTCCTTGGGCAATTTGGCTAATTCCACCGTGATTTTTGAACATGTGAATTGAACGAAGTGTTTCGTTTGCTCACATGAGAACGTACCCTGCCAATTTAGGCGGGATCTGTTGCTAAGCCAAGTAGCTAATCGGTTCTTGACTCGTGAATATTCAATTGGTATGTATGGTTCTGGACCCTCTATTGCATCGTGTGCAGCCAATTTTGCCGCCCCGTCTGCCAGGTCATGCCCCCGAATACCAGTATGAGATTTGATCCAAACCACCCTAAGGTTGTTCGTTTCAGAAATGCGCTGGAGTGCCTCGTAACAGTTCATAGCCAAGCCATTTTGCATCTTAATATTCTTAAGATCAGTTATGGCTCCCAAACTATCTGTGAAGATAGCTATATTTCCCCGTACTGGGTCCCCCAGTATTTTGTATGCACAATGAATAATTCCAGATATTTCCGCCTGTTTGACTGTTGTTGTTTGTCCCAGGGGAAATGAATAGGTGAGGTTCTCTGCTTCACAGTAGAAGCCGCATCCACTACCTGTTTCTCTGACTGAACCATCAGTGAAAAAGGAGTTTTGTGCCCATTGTTTTTGCTGGAAGAATTCATTGAGACTTTTTGTTATAATAATCTCGAAACTCCTATCGAAATTGTAGGAGGTCGTAATTAGTTTGTCAGAAGGAGCCCCCAAAATCTTGTCAATATTGAAAAGATTTGTTAGGGCATCATCATGCAAATTTCTAGGACTTGTCCTAGTCTTTATTTCCATTCTCAATCTATAGGCCGTTTTCATTGCTTCAGACTCTATAAAGTCTTCCAGCCTTGGTAGACCCAAGAGAACGTCAAGAGAAGCTTGGGGGGTTGTTTTCATAGCCCCCGTGACACACAAGCTTGCTACTCGCTGTAGGTGGTTTAGCTTTTTTCTGGCACTAGCAGTCGCGGTGCCAGTCCACCAGATAAAAGATCCATATGCGAGCATGGGCTTGACAACAGCTGTGTATAGCCAAAGGAGGCATTTAGGGGATAGACCCCAAACTTTACCAATGGCAGACCTACAGCACCAAAAGACTTTCAGGCATTTCTTGACTCTGTACTCAATGTGGCTTCGCCATGTAAGTTTTGAGTCAAGCATAACACCCAAGTACTTTACATGATCTCTTTTTTCGATCCTTGAACCGAACAGAGTTGGGTTCCTAAAACCGTGGAGGTTTCTGTTCTTTGTGAAGATCATGAGTTCTGATTTTGCCGGGTTTACCCTGAGTCCCACCTCCAGACACCATTGTTCGACCAGCTTAACTGCTGACTGGGTTCTGTCTGATAGAGTACTCAGGAATTTTCCCCTACAAATTATGCTGAGATCATCCGCATACCCAATCGCCTGGTAGCCATTTTCGTGAAGTCTCTTTAGGAGTCCATTCACTACTAATAGCCAAAGGAGAGGTGACAGCAATCCGCCTTGGGGAGTCCCCCTCGTTGCATGCACTATCACCTCATCCCCCCGATTCCGAAAGGTTATGGTTCTGTTCATTAGCATCGAATTAATCCATTTTTGGATCATTTGGTTTGCACCAATTTCTCTTACACTTTTATTTATGGCTTCAAAGGATACATTATCGAATGCTCCTTCAATATCCATAAACGTAGTGACCATGAATTCCTTGTCCAAGAGTGTTTTCTCGGCCATGGATACAATTTTGTGGAGAGCCGTTTCGGTTGATTTACCCTGCTGGAAGGCGTGCTGACTACCATGCAGGTCACCCGAAGCCTCCAATATTTCCCTTAGATACCTTTCGATCAGCCGTTCTAATCCCTTTAAAAGGAAAGAGGAAAGACTGATTGGTCTAAAGGATTTCGGCGACGTATAGTCATCTTTTCCTATTTTTGGAATAAAAGTTACTTTTACATTTTGCCATGAGCTGGGGACGTATCCCAGAAGTATCGAGGACTTGTATATGGATACAATTATATCTCCGATAATATCCCATGTTTTTTGTAAAAGCACTGGGTATATCTCGTCTAGGCCTGGCGATTTGAATGGGCCAAAAGATGAGATGGCCCATTCCACCCTCCTGGGAGATACGAGATTTTCGATGAAAGCGTCAACATATGCGTTTTGGACTGGCTCCAAGATTTCTTGGGCTGGCAACGCATGTGTTACATTTTCAGGGAAGTGCGTATCAAGTAGGAGCTTTGCAGTCTCTTCATCAGACTCCGTGTAGCTTCCATCTTGTCTCACAAGTATTCCTGGACCCTGGGCTGGGTCCTTAGCCAGAATTTTGTGTACTCTTGAGGTGCTTTTAGCCCCCTCAATTCTGCTAAAGAATCTCTTTTCAGAGTTCTTTTTAGCAATAAGAATTTCACTGGTGTACTTGTTCCTACTCCTTCGCCATATGTCATGGCAGAGTGGGCCTTGAGGTGTATCCTTTCTTGCTAAATATATTCTAAGTAGTCTTCTGGATTCCTTTCTTAGCCTTTTTAGGTCCGTATTCCACCAATCATTGTTCTTTATCTTAATTTCACGCTCAGGGCATGAAATATGGTACGAAATCTTCAAAAGATCTGTCAGACTTTCAGTTGCTTGGTCTAAACGATCCCTTGTAGAGATGTCCAGACACAGTCTTCTGAGTGCTGTAGACCCTTTTCTTACTTCGTTTCTAAGTAATTCCCAGTTTGTATTTCTAGGGTTTCTGAATTTATTCTGTGCTCGGCGAGCACATAATAGTTGGAAGCGAATCTCTCTGTGGTCAGAGAGTCTATCTTCCTTTGTAACATGCCAATTCCTCACGAAATGCGAGAAATTAGCAGATATCAAAGTTATGTCTAAGACTTCCGACCTGTTTCTGGTAACAAACGTTGGTTGTACACCTCTGTTTAAGATGAACAGGTCAGTCGTTGCAATATATTCGAGAAGTAACTCACCTCTACGGTTTGTGTCACTACTTCCCCAGACCGTGTGATGCGCATTTGCATCACCCCCCAATATTATTGGAAGTGATCGGTTGATAGAATAATCATATAATGCTTTAAGTCCCTCTCCTGGAATATCTTCATTCGAAGGGTTTGCCAAGTAGAAAGAGCTTAGTATCACATCTGAATCAAGAGTACTGCCCTTACCCAGTTTCACTGCTGTGGTGTCCCGTGAACTGAACTGTGGCAAAAGTGTCAAGCTCAGTTCCTTGGAAGCAACGATACATGATCTATTGGGCTCGTTCGACTGATTCAAATACAATAAATTCATCTTTTCGGTGTCAAAGCCACATATTTTGTTCTTGACAACCCAGGGCTCTTGAATCAAAAAGATGGAGTTTTGTTTTTTTGTTTGCATATCACATATTGACTTACACACAAGTGCAGTCGCTGCCTTGCTTTTATGCAAATTTATTTGATGTATGCTAATCCATGCCAGCGCGTTCAATTGATTTGAGTTGCTGGCTGTAGATACAGCGTGTGTGGATGAACTGTTATTTGTATTAGCCATGGCTATATCAAATTACAGTTCAGAGAGTGAGAGAAGCAGAGAGCTTCGGGTACCAGATGCATCAGTCGATGCCTCTGGATTCCCGTTGCTCGTCCGCAACTCCCCCAGTATCCATGGCTTCTGGGCCATGTGAAGTGTTGGATGCGGTGTCCGATAGGGCAGCAGTCTCTGTAGACATCTCTACTTGTTCCTGTCCGCCCTCTTCAGATAACTCATCCATATAAGTGTCAGAATATTGTCGTTCAACCACAGTCACATCAACGTTCCGATATGAATCGTCACATTTTGCTTCCAGGTCATCCGTCGCTTCTGTATTTATTTCAGAACCAGATTCAGAATCAGATTCCGATGAAATAACTACCTCGTCCATGTGGTCAGTCCCTTTCTTTTCAGCAGGGTCTGATTTTTTGGAACGAGTGATTTCATATAGGCGAGTTTTACCCATTCCCACCTTGAACTCTGGGCCTTTCTCGAGGAGAATGGCCCGGTCCCGAGGCCTGACACTAACAGTGAACTGAGTGCCATTTGCCTCCTTTTTCGAATTTAAGAGTTTGAATGAGATTGGTGCGAGTAGGGGATTTGCTGATTTCAGCAAGATCTCCGCATCTTCCCAATGCTCAAGCTGCTTAAAGAAACCAGTGAACAGCGGAGGGCGTGGTATCTTACTGAATTCACAGACAATAAGAGGAAGTTCCAGCTTGGTAGCTAGTCTTCCAGCCACGCCCATTAACCATTCACTGGAGCGCTTGTCATCACACACAATCTTGACAACTCCACGAGTGCGGGTGGTACTCTCAAACGTTGGTGCCTGGGAGCCGGCTCGTACATCCTCGACCATGATGACGTTTAATGTCTTCAATATCTGCGTGAACAAGTCATGCGATATTTCGGACAAACTGTCCTGGCCGACGGAATGTACAACCGCCATCTCCAGAGAAGATCCTACCAGGGCCTGGGCATAGGTGGGTTTCCCCGATGCCACATTTTCTGGGGTCTCCTTTACGTCCAACCGTTTGTGAGCGTTCAGCTCTGGTGGAGTTCCTTCCTGTGGGCGAGGACGCTTTTTCGATGCCGACGATGGGTCTGGCAGGGACTGTTGTTGCACCCTACCCAGAGCCCGTGAGGTACCAACAGATGGTCCAGCTCTGGTAGGAGTGGACGACGATTGTGGAGTCCCACTTAGCTCTGGCATCGAATTCGAACAAAGCCCGGTAGTCACAGTGGATTTCTCCATGTTTTCTCGGGCTTTATTACGTACACGACGTTCTCGTCGTATTATTGTTGCTGAATGGCTTTCAGCGGGTGTTCTGACATTAGGGACACATTAATTGGAGCGATTTTTTTTCTTTTTTGTATGTTATGAGTAGAATCTAGGCATGAATTATCTCTGGTGCGATTTTAGATTTTTTATTTTATGAAGAAAAAAAATTTGGTTCAGTTATTCCACATGTAAAAAAGTGTATTTGCCTTCCACATGAGTATACAATGGATATTGCGTCTTAAAATTAAATAGTATCATATCTGTGTGGCGCACACATCTCATGTTGTTTATTGCGCATTAGAAATTTATTTCCGTTACGATTTTCCAACACAATCGATAAACAAAATATGCGATGGAGTTGCTGTCAATACAATCTTTAGTTCAGACTCATTTACATAATGAATAAAATCAATTTAGAGAAAATAATTTTGTGGAGCTGGTATAGTTAATAAGTTCCGCGAATTCGGAGCTATACCAAACGAAGGGGATATCAAATGTTCAAAATGTGGTCATGAGATGAATTTGTGGTTTCATAAAAACGAAGACGAGTATTTCATCTGCAAAAGCCGCTGTTTATAATAAATTATGCACTGAAGTTTTAATCCATTCCTGTTTAGATAACTCGACACCAATTGCTAGGTGGACATTTGATTGTTGAAGCTGTGGTCATTAAATTGAATTATTAGTACAATGCGCGCGCGCGCCTGTTTCATACATGTAACTCTATTCTCAATTACACATATTTGCGCACCTTTGATTTAATGTTTCACTGACTGCATTAAATGTTTAAGGTGGTCCTGTAAAGGTCATTGAAATTGAAGAAAATGATTTTGAAGACACTGATCTCTTGAATTTAAATTCGACTGTTCTTTCAATTTGATTTTTTTTCGTTATTTTTGAATACATTTTTGCAAATGTTGAGTAATTTCGTTCATTTCTAATAAAATTTGAAATAATTACCGCTAAAAATATTTTGTTTTTCGATTGTGTTGGCAAATCGTAACTGAATCAAATTTCTTATGCGCAATAAACAACATGAGATGCGTGCGCCCATTGCTTAAAAAAAACGCACGCTCAACGTAACTCAATGTGCTGAGTTTTCGAATGCACAGTGCGCTTGTCCACTCACCGAACCAGTACGAGAGCAACTCACTACTTGCTCATGTCACATTATGAGTGAGCTAAATCTCGCTCACACCACTTAAAAAAAAACATAAAAAACATTATACGAAATGAAGGATATAAGGGAATTTTTTTTCGTCTTTTCAATTCTCTTTTTGCTGTTACTAGGCATGTTTAGATGAAACTCTCGGAGAGTCGGTATATTGAAAAAAAATATTGACTTTTTTTTCCGTCTTTCGACCGTCTTTCTGGTGGTACATGGCAAGCTCATATGAAACTCTCGGAGATTTGGTACAATGCAAAAAAATATTTCAATTTTTTTTTCCGATATTTTTGTGCATTTTCCGAGTTTCTGAGAGTTTCATATAAACATGCCTAGTAACAGCAAAATAGAGTCAAGAATACGAAAAAAAATTTCGACTTGAGCGAGTAGTTACTCACTCAGTTTTCTAGTTGAGTGTTGTTTGCAACTCACATTAGCGACTCAGTGACGTGTAGCGCATTGAGTTATATGCTGCTCCCCGAGAGTGCTCAGTGCGATGCGATAGCACTGCGTGCGCCCCACAGATATGATGCTATTTGATATAAGACGCAATATCCATTGTATACTCATCGGTGGAAAGCAAATATTCTTTTTACATTCAATTTCACTGAACCAATTTTTTTTTATAAAATAAAAAATCTAAACATCCAAAAATGTGTCCTCAAACTAAAGTTATGCCTATTATACATCACAATTATTTGTTCGCTTTAAACAAAGAAGTGTGTCCTGTTTGGTATGAAGTCTGGACTGTTTTCGTGAGTATCATTAAGACCTGATTATAGGGTTTAGTTTAGATAACAATAAAAAAGGCAAGCACGTAGAATATGGCCGACATTTTAAAACATCGCACCCTAAAGTGTTTGCTTCCCATTGCTAACTGTATTTACAGATAAGATTGTTTCGTTCCAGAACCAAGTCAGAAACTGAGTCTGGCAATAAATTTGAACGTCCAGCTGTAATTATAATTCTTCACAAAAATATAAATACATCTACAACAAATACAAATACATCTTAAATACATCTATCTGTTTATCACTTCTAGTCTTAAAATAACAATAAATTGATTGATAATTCAAAATCAGAATATGGTCGTGAATATAGTTGTTTTTTTGGTCAAATATTTAAAATAATATTTTATTAACTGCAAAAGAACGAACACAAATATTTTTCGTAAAACTTTTGTACATTATTCAAGCATCGACACATTTTTGAAAAGAAAGTTGGACGTTTACAATGAATAACAATACGTATATTTCTATGATCACTGTTCTATAGATGCTATAACTAAAGCTGTATTAATGAAAGCTGCATACACTTTATGTTTAATGAATAAATTAAATAATTTTGAAATCATCATATTTTTCGGTTCATAAGTTTTCATTCCTGTTTTATTTTGCATTTGTGATAAAAGAAAGAAACAAAATATATTGAAAGTTTTTGATTATTATCTCGAAGACAATAGGTAAATTACAAGTGTAAATGAGAGTATTTCACTATTTTTGTATGTCTTTTCATTTTGCTTCGACACCAAAAAGTATTTCAACAAATAAATAAAATATATTGAAAATTTAATTTCACACATAGAGTTAACATCTTAATCTAAACATAGAAAAATATACCGAAAATTGCACGCAAATCACAAATTCACGGGCTCTTTACATATTCAAAAACCACATATATTAATTTCATTGGTTATTTCCTTAATTGTATTTTTACTTGATTTGCATCCGGCTAATTTTGAATTAACCTTAATTTTGGTCCTTCATGTTTTTTTTTTTTGTTTTTTCATGTTCATCCTTTTTTTTAAATTTCTTATGTATAAAAAAAAATCATTTAATTTATCGTGCCGAATTTCAAAAGAAGATAATTTGGACCATTCATAGAAAGATTGAATTTCAATTTTAAAATCAAGTTTTATTTCATATTATGCAGAGCTGGGCATAAACATCAACGATCGACTACTATAGGTCGTTCGTATAATTTTATTTTATGGTCGGTCGGTCGTCCGTTGTGTTCGTTCGTATATTACTACGAAATAAAAAAAAAATTATTAAATTCATCTATATTTATTTCATCATTTAAAATGTGAGGTTATGTCAGGTATAATCCATACCAACTATACAGAATTTAATAAAATTTCGTAATAAGAAAATGTATTATTTTGAACACTAAATTGAGAAAGAAAACTTATGTGATATTTATTTATTTAATTATTAGTACATTATCAAATTACATATTATTTTAATCTGTACAATTGAAAATTAATTTACTTTTTTTATTAATTAAAATTACTTGACTTTACAATTTTCTCTCCGAATACTCGGAAGTCTGGTCGTGTTCGAACGCACATACGAACGAACACAACGAACATTTCAATTTCTAAGAACGACCGACCGACCAACTAATAATGATTTCAACGAACGACGGACCGATCACAAAAACATATTTTTTTTAATTTTACGAACGAACGAACGACTGACTGTTCGTGCCTAACTCTGATATTATGATTTAGTAAGATGAAAATAATATTGATCTTGTCCAATAGTATAGGTTTAAATTCAAATTGGAAACTTCATTTGTACACTTTATCACATGTTTCTTTCAAATTAACCAATACGCTGTCAATTATTAACAGCGATGCGAACCAGTTTGATGTTTGGTTTCGATTTGTATCGCTGATTATTAGGGTATGCGCTCATAATTTCTTCATTTGATTTAATTGGTTTAATATGCGAATAGTGAAACAAGGAAAAAAGAATGTAAAAATCACTATATTCATATGAATCAAGTATAATTTGCACTTACTTCAATCATATGGTTTTCGTTTTAATTTTCTATTTACACATATATTTATATACTTATACATATATTATTTAATTGATATTTTTTATATATATTTTGAATAATTGTTGTTTTCTTTTCTATCTTTTCTTTCCTCACCGTTTGTCCCTCATGTGTTTGCCAAACGATCAATGTGCAAATGCCAATATAAAACTGTACGTGTATCCACAAAATTATTAACACCAACGACACAAAAATTATTTACGATTCAAAATTTATTTTTTTATCTTTTAAACACATCGAACACAAATACACGAAACAACAATAAACAAAAATGAAACAAATGACCCAAACTGTTTCATAATATAACTTGATGTGGTTAAATATTTTAAACGTTGTCAAAAATTCATATCTATATTTATCACACCGTCCACTAAATGTTGTTGAATTTTGATGTTCTTTACAAAAAATGAATATTATATTTTTTAATCGAACTACTCTTCAATATGAAAACTGGCCAAAAAACATTCTAAATGAAATACGTTTTAAAAAATTACATGCGTGAATTTGTTTTCAAAAATATTGAAACGTAAAAATGGACATTAATACAAAAAAAACGTGAAGCAATCACGACGACGAGTTTGCCAATATTCTCAATGCCTTTTGGCTAACTGCGATCACGTTTCTCTGTGTGGGATACGGTGATATAGGTAATTTCATTTGAAATTCAAGCATGAATTTTACAAGTTAACTTAATTATTGATGAATTTGACGATTTAGTGCCCAACACTTACTGCGGACGTGGCATAACGTTGACTTGTGGCATGGTGGTAAGTATGGAAATGTTATTGTTGTGTGTGATGATCTCTCGCTCCTAGTGTGTGTCCTCTGCAATTCCACATCTCACAAGCATATTACTTATTTATTATTCATTCGTAAAGAGAACACAATCGTATATTCGTATAGTATCAGAAAGTATATTGAACACAATCTGAGAACTACACCATTCTCAAAATTCTGTTGAGCA